CCCCATCCTGGCTCCACTCGCCGTGTGCAGCGCGCAATCCGGGGCCTGCAGGTGGCTCACGTCAACCCCGAGCGCTGTGGCGCTCACGAGCGAGGCCACCGCCCCCGTGTCCAGTAGAATCCGGCTACGCCGTCCATTTACCTGTCCCTCTTCCAGCGACGTTGCTCCCGTGATCCCCGCCACTAACTCGCGTAGCCAGTCGCCCGGAGTCACCGCGTTCTTAGGCGCTGTTGCTGGAATCTGTGTGAAGGCCACTCGCTCACCATTATTATCATCTTTCTGTATTGGGACCACGTTGATTGCACCCCTAGTTGGTCCACTCTCTAGGGGGCATTGGAGTTTAATCCCGACGCATGTCTAGCACGGGCGACCTGAGGGCAGTCCCTCATGAGGTGCCCTCGGCGGTCACACAGGTAACGTGCCCGGGGGGCAGCCCCATAGGAGGCCCCCTGCCCATCCCTTCTCCTTCCCCTGATATGTGTCTGTCCAAGCTCGGCCTCTCATCGGGACACTCGTCCAGTTAGCCCCCCTACCGTGGAGCGCAGTTCTCCCATTTCGGACTGAATGGTCTCCACTGTGGACTGTAGTTTGTTCATGTTCCGGCTCGCTTCCTCACGTATTTGGGTCACCCTGTCACCTACTTGGGTCACCTGGCCGGCTATAGCTCTTATGCCCGTCTGTATCCCCGTACGTCATTTTCGGTATCAGTCCTACCTTCTGGAACGAATTAACGACGTATACCGAGGTACCACTGTATATGAAATGTCACAATGTGTTAGCGTGTGTGGAAAACCGGAAGTAGTCAGAATGCCCTGGGCCTTAACGCATGATGAGAGAAAGAGAGGGGGGGGGGGGGGTGTGTGCAGGTGTTACAGGTGTTGAAAGTGAGCAGGTAAGTTAAAAATAGAGCGAAAAAAAACTAACTCACCAGTGAGTGCACATGGAAAGTTTGGGGTGTGTTGGTTTTATGGTGATGGCACAATTGGGTTCACAAAAAGTACACATGCACAAAGCCTGATTTTTTTAAACGGTTTTACTTAGATTTTGATTTAAAGCTTTCGTGACTGCAGGGATTCATATTCTTGGTTCTTTCGGTAAAGTCACGTAGAAGGGAAACAATAAAATAATATAAAACGATAAAATTATCACGATGTTTTGACTGCAACACAAGCAATCGTCATCAGGGTTGAAAACCACAGCAAGAAAATTTGACTCCTGTGTCGTGGTCAAATCGTCAAATCTTGTAATGTAATATTCGTCCACTTCCCGTTGTCCAATCGAACCCTAATTTTGCACACGTACTCGGATCCGGTGACAATGCATGCCTGTATCAAAATAATCAATTAATTGGCTTCTTGAAAGCAATTCACTTTTTGTATGGACGACTTATTAATTGTATATTTGTCGCAGTAAAAAACGCCGCGGTCCCTAAACTTTGGAATCGGCTTGCCCGAAAAGCAGGCGCCACGTGTCTCATGCGGGCCTGCTCCGTGTCAACGAGTTACAAGCACCCTCCACACAAACAAACAATTTACAATGAAGATTAATTTATCAAACAACCTATTCAAGTAAGCGTTGATGTGGGAGCAGGCACCGCATCATTGACGTACTTCTCGACGGTGAGTTAAACGAAGTTGTGAAAAAAAGTTTCATTTGTCGTGGTCAAATCTCATAATCAAAATGTCGTCCAGTTACCGTTGTCCAATCGATCCCAAATTTTGCACACATACTGACATCCGGGCACAATGCATGCCTGAACCAAAATCGCCATCAATTAATCAATTACTTGGCTCGTTTAAATCAATTAATATTTGGTATGGAAGCCTTATTCCACGAGTGCTTTGCAAACAGGTTTTGTTAAAAATATGTATTAATACCAACGTAGGAGTCGACACTTGTAAACTTTCCTGGAACATTCTTTTTGTGCTATTTTTAGATTTTTTTCCTGCTTTAAGGTAAATAGTCACATCAAATGCTTTGGTGTGTTTCCAAAAGTTGTTTAATATGATGTAGTGCATCCAATGGGACAATGCATGAATAGGGTCCAGTGATGTCATTTTTGCACTTACACCATTGCAAGTTAACTTTTAACATTTGCATTGATGTTTTATCCATTTACATTTTTAAATTAAGCTGTTTGTAGTGGACAAATCGCTTGAGTGTTGACCTTTCGATCTAAAACTTAAAAGTTCAAATCTTGGGTATGAAATTTGTATAAAGAAATTCAAGTAACATTTTTGGTACTTTATTTAGAGCTTTAAACTCTAGCACATTTAAGAGTGAGTTGTCTGTGCTTGTGTGGTGCCGCCGCAACGGAGCCGCTCCGTCGGGGCCGTACCCACCGCCGTGACGCCGCCACCAAGAAGCGACGGCACCGACGCTGCTCGCCCCTCACCGCCCCCCACATGAACGCACGCATACCCCACATAGAGCCCGAGGGGAAGTCACCTGGCCGGTAGGTTTTCGTCCAGAAGCCCCTAATGGGATCAAGCTTCATGGTTTCCTACGGCCAGGGAATTGGACGACCTACCCCCGAGGCTGACGTACACCGCGGCGCCGTGACCTGGGATTGTAATCGCATGGTCACGGCAGGGGCTGTTGAACCACCGCAGATGGAAACACCCCTGATTGGACGGGAGGCCAAGGGGGCGAAACAGCGGAACGCATTTGTTATGGGTAGGATAAAAGGAGGAGGATTCAGGCAGTAGGTGGTGTTCTTCAAGGCATCAAGATCAGCGGGGTGTTGGAGCCAGCCATTCGAGTCATCCGTGTGACGAGGTTCAATGCAGCCAGGCCCAATTCTCCACGGAGACGACGTACAGCATCGCCCTTCCACAGCTTCCGGCGCATCAGAGTAGTAGTAAGCATAAGTAAGGGAGACGTGAGTTTGGGCTAATTAACCAGAGGGTAGAAAGTGGAGCGACAGGCAGGATAAATTGAGCCCCAGATCACCGAGGGGTAGGTTAGTGTCTGCTCACCCACACAAACACGCGTAGTTTAGCGGGTTATTCGCGGGGAATAAATCGTCAGTAGAGGATAAACTGTGTCGTGTGGTCTTTGTGAGTGTGAAGAGGGTGGAGTGCCTTGTGTTCGCGTGCATGCGTGGCTGTTTACAGCGAAGAGGAGGGTGGAGTGTCTTGTGTGCGCGTGCACCACGCGTGGTTGTTCACACGGCCTTTAAATCGGCTCAGAGGTGTCCCCTCCAATCGGCGGCGAGCGCGCGGTGGAAGCCCCTGCCCTCTAACCCCTGACCCCGAGTCCCTCGTGTGCGATTGGTGTACGGAGCCGGGCAGGTAGCGACGTCGGGTTTGTTAGTGCCTGGGCACGTAGGGCGTGTGTGCGAACGGGGGGGGGGGGGCTAAGTGCCAGCCGCGGACCATGCCTCGCACAGCAGCGGCGAAGGTAGGAGAGGCGGAGGGTAGCAACCCTCCCCCGAGTGTAGAAGAGGAGAGCCTCGGATCACAAGGGAGTGGGGAATCGGGGAGCAGCGGTCCCCACAATTTAGTGTCGGAAGCGGCATGAACCCACAGCGCATAAGACATATATTCACCGGCCAGGGGACTCCATCATGGAAAGCGTTTGCCCGCAACGTTTTAGGGGCTAAAAAAATTAATGGTTGGACAGACGCGCAGGCGTTAGAGCAACTGACCATGCACTCAGATGGACGGGCGGCTAACTTCACGGAAGCCCTACCTGCGAGCACACAAACCCAGCTAGCAGAGCTAATGCGCCAACTTGACCTGCGGTTTGGCGTGAGTAATGAGGAGGAGGCAAGGGCCGCCTTAGAGGCACGCCACCGCTAACCCGGTGAGAATACTCTGACCGTACCATCCGCCAAGCTGTTTCTCCCTCCATACAGAAACAACCACTTGATACTCCGGTCAAAACCATCACACTACCATATATAGCAGGCGTTACTAAAAATATCTCCAAAATTCTAAACAAACACAAGATCCTGGTCCGGTTCAATACAGTACACAAAATCAGTGACCTGATCCCATCCGTGAAGGATGTCATTCCTGACTTACAGTACCCCGGGGTTTACAAATTGAGCTGCACCTGTGGTGACTGCTATATCGGGGAGACGAAACGACATGTCTCTGACCGAATTCGCGAGCACAAATCAGATTTGAAACACGGCAGAACGAATTCTTCTGCCGTTGCTGATCACTGTTACAACGCTGTGGGTGATCACGATATAGTGTTCTCTGATACCAAGGTTCTCTGCAAACCCACGGGTTTTTATCAGAGATTTGTCCACGAAGCAATTCAGATTTACAAACACAGACACAATTTCAACCGAGAGGATGGTTTCAAATTAAGCAATCATTGGAAAGATGTTCTAAATCAAACCAAACATTAAACTAATTTCAATGGTACAGTATATTTATTCAAGTAGTGGTATCCCAAACTTTCACAGCAGCTTATTTCCCTTCACACCAACATTATGTAAACTCCCCCCCCCCCCCTTCACCGTGCCGGTCCAGTACATCATTTTATGCTAATTCCTTTGTCAAGGCGTTTTTTTTGTTTCCTCCCACACAGCTTAAAGGACGCGACCTGGGCTTGCTGTCTTCACTCCAATGCTGTCCTCTGCACAGTCCAGTCCCTTCACCTGATGAAGGCCACTTGTGTTGTGGCCGAAACGTTGTGATTTTATTTTTACCTACGTGACTTTGCCGAATAGAACCAAAGAGTATGGATCCTTGCAGTCATGAAAGCCTCAAATCTAGAAGGGATTCATCTTCTTGGTTCTTTCGGTAAAGTCACGTAGAATGGAAGTAAAATAATAATGCGCGAATCTTAGCAGCGTTCATTAAGCGCTTGTGTTGTGGCCGAAACGTCGTGAGAATTTTATTTTATTATGTTTTATTTTCATTATTTTATTTCCATTCTACGTGACTTTACCGAAAGAACCAAAGAAGAAGAAGAATTTATTCAGTTACACCACCTCATTGGGTTGGGCAGTGTGTTGTCCCCTGTAAGTGACGTCATGTCACCTGCTGCTGCCTCGTGACGTCACGAGATACCAGGAAGCTGCCGATCCTCGCGCGCGCTCACTGAGATCCGAGGTGAGAAGTTCACATCGTGGTTGTTGTCGTGGTGGTGATTGTTGTTGTTGTTTACCCAGGTAGAGCCTCGCTCCTTCTCTCTCTCGTAGGGACATCAATTGAGTAGCAGCGAGTATGGAATCGACGTCCAGGTTGGAACATTACAACGCGGGGCCTAGCCATGAGGGACCTTGCCTCCTGCCCTCGCCTGATTGCATTTGCTTTAATTATCTGTCTTCTTTGGTTCTTTCGGTAAAGTCACGTAGAATGATAATAAAATAATAAATTGATAAAATAAAATAACACAATAATATTCTCACGACGTTTCGGCCACAACACAAGCGGCCTTCATCAGGTGAAGGGGGCGAGACAGTCTTTTATCAATTTATTATTTTATTATCATTCTACGTGACTTTACCGAAAGAACCAAAGAAGATGAATCATTGCAGTCACGAAAGCTTTAAATCGAAATTTAATTATCTGCTTAAGTTTAATTTGTCTTCACCTGGCTCACTACTTTGAAACTTTGTTTCTTTAAAATATAAATAGTTTTTTTTTATTTCACCAGGCATATCCCACTTGGGCTATACCGTTCTATTCCAGAAGCGACCTGCCCACAACAAAGTGGCTTATCAACGTGTGGAAATGTCTGTCGGTCAAATACTATAAACGCGTGGTGATGTTGACTCTAAATGTGGAGGGGAAAACCGGAGGATCCGGAGGAAAATCCACGCGACCACGGGGAGAGAGACACGCAAACTACAAATATACGTCCGTAATACAGTTTTGTTTGGTTTAGATCGCGTAAATATAAAATGTGTCGTTAAAACCCGCCACCACCCGACACAGCCAATTATTAAAGGTTGTCACGTAAACAGAACGTGGCCAATTCGTCACCAGTACAGCACACCGGTTTGTTGGAGAGCCAAGCCACAACATTTACAATCTGAGTAGGATGTTCGCCACTAATTACAATCAGCCTCATCATGCGACAACCAAATGTTGTGGCGTGGCTCTTTGGGAAGAAAAATAGGGTCGCTTGGTTTATAGCGCAGCATGCTAACCATTTGCACTATCGCTCCCCACTCTTGCACAAACATTGTCATCGAAAGTACAGTATTTATTCAGTTATTACTAAGTTACCCGGCTTCACACAGGTCTCAGTAATCAAACATTATGAGTAATGTCTTGCAATGTTGGCTTTATTAGAATGATTTACTTATACCAATGAAGTCTGTAAATGTGTATATATTTTGATTTAAAGCTTTCGTGACTGCAGTAATTCATATTCTTAGTTCTTTCGGTAAAGTCACGTTGAAGGGAAACAAAATAATAAAATATATATAAAACAATAAAAATCTCACGACGTTTCGACCGTTTGTGTTGTGGTCGAAACGTCGTGAGAATTTTTATTGTTTTATATATATTTTATTATTTTGTTGTTTCCCTTCAACGTGACTTTACCGAAAGAACTGAGAATATGTGTATATATTGTCACGGTTTTTTGGTTGAAGGTATACAATCGCAGGGCTTGTTTGTTTCATAATGAGGACAGCTTTTAAATTCGTTGGCCTTGGAGAGCTTCAGGATAGACAATGTTGGATGTTTTGCCATCTTGTGGGTTTAATCGAATGAAGCTTCAATTTTGGCATACATGTTGACAGCAAATTGGTGGAAGAGCTCTTTGCATCTCAAGAAAAGATTGAAGCTGCCGTTTCGCACCATGATCCTAAAGGCAAGGAAGTCCATGGCAGAAATATTTTGTGTTGGCAAGCCTGTTGCTGGATCAGTTTGGCAAAGTAGGAAATTGTAGCTATCATCAGTTTGCCAGAAAATCAGTAGTCATTGAAGAGCATCATAGGATCGGTGTGTTTCATTTCTGTATAGGGTATTATTCCTCAGTTGCAAGACGATGCCTCGAGTGCCATGTTGTTCAGCAGTCAGAATGACAGTGACTTCGGATGTTTATTGCATTTAAGAGGCATGTGGAGTTTAGTTGGCATGAATGACAACATTGTACTCTAAAGTCATCTTGTCCATGGGAAACGTGAAACTGTGAACATAAAGAGTGTTTCTTATGGAGCATGGCTTGCCACAGCAATAGGACTTGCATCTTGGTGTTGATGACATTTTTGCAATGCTGGTGAGCCTGTCTAGTATCGTCAGACATGCTATATAGTTTGAGAAGCCTCCAATGATCATAGAAAAATCATTGTATTCGTTACGGTTACAATGATACGCTTATCGATGCCTGGTTATAGTTTAAGGATCGTTCCCTGCTGGTCAACTATATTACATCTGCTCATGACCTGGTAATGGCTACTTGATGAGATGGAATTAGGGAATATTGTTCTGTGCCTTGATAATTCCATCATGAAATGGGGCCTTGCAAATGTTCCACAAAAATAAATCACCTGCCTGGGAATTTCATGTCATACAACACTGCACCTGCTCAACGCTCCATGAATAATCAGGCAGTTCTACAAGTGGTGGAGGAGCTCCCATATCTGCTTAATGTGTTCACGACCAGTTCTGGTTTGGCAGCCAAAATCTCACTTAAAATTAGTCGAGCAGCATTCTTTCATTGTACTGTGTAACTCTGTGTAGAAGGTGCCTGGACTTCTGCTCCATACAAGCTGTGAGTGTCCATCGCCAAGGTCTAGTCCATATGAGACCATCCCTCTCCCAGCCATACTGGAATCGCACCCGCCCCTCACCCTTCATCCTACGGATGTTCGGTGCACAGGATGGCACCATGTAGCCATTTAGAGCTGGCCTGACTGGGTTAATTGGGTCACGACAAGTCGCTTGTTGGTGAACACAACCCCTGGACCTGGCTCTAGCGGTGATATCAATATAGAATATATATACGGATGCCCCCGAATAGACTCCCCCTGGAACTCTACCAGGCCCGTCCCACTGGGCGAAGACCCTGGGGCTGGCCTGGACACGCTTGTGGGACTATGTCGCTCGGCTGGCCTGGGAACACTTTGGAATTCCCCAAGTTGAGCTAGAGTCTGTCGCCAGGGAAAGAGAGGCCTGGACCGCCCTACTCAGTGTGCTGCCACCACTACCCTCACCAGAACAAGCGTTTTTAGAAACGAACGAAGCTGTGAATCTTCTTGGCCACAGATATTACTCTGTGGATGTAAAATATGAACTTATTTAAATTACCATCTGTGCTGGCTGAAACAATGAAGACTGGCCTGCCTATGATTCATCCTTAATTAAACCAGACTTACGTATTAAAAGCTTACAGATTCTTAATATATCAATATATAATATAATCATGAGTCTGTTTGACAGGCAAGGCTGCATTGGTTCATTCATGAATCCCGAATTCCCAGTTCCAGCTCAAGCAGCTTCTGTTAGTCCAGATATTAGGGTTAAACAGGCATGGCATTGGCTAGAGAAGAGATTGGAGGATGTGGCAGTGATCGGAACCGCCGATGACTGGCATCAGTAGTGTCAATATTGGCCTCTGTGGAGGAGGCCCAAGTATGCTGCAGGGCAGTTAAGAGATATTTGCTCTGGAACAACGATGAGGTCGGAGGAGCGACAACCACATGAATGGGTAGAATGCTGAGTTCCTAAAACCCAGCAAGACAGTTGGGAGCGCAGCTGGTTCACTTGTCAGTCATCCCTTGACACCTGGATCATTACCATTACCTGCTGACAAGGAATCCACACTTACATGGCCTTAAATTGCATCTATCATGGCATTAGCACTGTGATAAGGTTACTTCCATTTCGTCATGAATGGTGGATGTTTTATTTATATCATATCTTAATGACCCATGTGAAATGTACGTGTATTTACGAGTTTTTCTTTATGGGGAGCTGTGGCGCAGTTATTTCACTGCATTATGAACTCAACAATTAGTTTGATTATTGCCGACAGAAAACATGATTGATAAGTGAAAGCTGAACTTATTGTGGGCCTCCGCTATGTTGATTGATCTTAAATTAATTACACGGTGAAGTGAGGAAGCATTAATACTGAGCAGATGAAGGCAGCCAGGCATGGTTCTGAACGCGCCACCACCTTTTTACCACGCCAGTGGATGGCAGTGTCAAGTTTGTATTTGCAGTGAAGTATATTAACTACTAGCAGTAAGTACCCGGCGTTGCCCGGGCGAAAAAGGCAGACACACACATGGACTTACACACAGACATCGACCCACACACATAGAAACACATCTACTTCGACGCACACACACACATATGGAGTCACACAGACATCGACTTTAGACACGCACACATCGACTCGCACACACACATAGACTTACACACACATATCGACTCACACACACATATAGACGTACACACGCACATATCAATGCACACAAACATGGACTGTCACACACACATTGCCGTACACACATCAACTGACACACACATCGACTGACACACACAGACTCACACACAAACACACATCGATTCACACACGCACATAGAGGCACACACACATGGACTGACACACACACATGGACTTCCAAAGGTCCCCCATATAGCCTTAACAGACTGTAGGGGCAAGTGCTGTTAGCAAGCACCTATGAAGGCCGGAACGGTACATGAGGGGGTGGGTGCCCAACAGCACGCCCGACCGCGTTTGTCTCCCTAGTGGCGATGTTTACACACCGCACCAGGTACTCATTTGAGGCTGAGTCGACCTAGGGGAGGGCCCGGACCAGTTCAGAGAATTGTCACTGGTGTTGGCCGTGAGCGGGAATCGAAGCCGTGTCTCCAGGTTCATAGCGCAGCGCGCTAACCACTACACTATCGCTCCCCTACGCACACACACACACATATGTACGTACACACACACAACAACAACTGCCATTCACCACTAAGTGGCGTTGACGTCACCACGACGCTTGTGCCCGGCTATGTGCACCTTGAGGCCACGTGAAGTGTCGAGCGCCCGCTGGCAGGAGGTCACGGGGTAGACCCAGGTGGCAGGGGTCGACTGACTGAGATGACTGGCTGATGCACCACCTGTGGCCCCTACTATGGCAACT